GCCAGACAAAGAACGCTGTTGAGTTCAGCTACTGGTAGCTAAGCATATGTAGTGGACTAAAGCTCAGGAAGTCCCGATAAATCCGGCAAGGGATCACTGCATATGAACGACACTCGAGCTTCATATCACGCAAACGTTCGTTTTATCATAGCAATATGCCAGTGCCAGAATTTACATCTTTAGTGAAACTGGCAGTTTTCATCTTGACACTGACTGTTCAGTTCCCGTCGAGCTGTGATCGAGTTACGACAGTGGCAGAAAGGGCCATATCTGATGAACAGCACTCCAGGCTACGAAGTGAATGAATGGGAAGAACCGTAGAATATGAACCAAATAATGATCCTGTAATCCTTTCCTCCTCATCACATCTCTTCTATCATTCTAGATCCTAAATCATCTCATCACTTCTTAGCTCGCATCCTTCATCATGCCCACCATGAATCCAGCCATGAATCATGGAACCATCATCGACGCGATCGACAGTGATATCGCCCCCATCACTGACATCTACTGGCCATCCTTCAAAAAGGCAGTCCAGAATGATCCCCAGCAACTCCGCCCCATCGACTTGACTTGCACCATCTGTACAGAGCAGATGTCAACCCAAGGATCCGGAAGAGGTTCCATTCACTGGATCCCAAAACAAGGTCGCCAAATCACCCACGATGCACAGATCCTCCCCTGTGGTCACATGGTAGGCGGCTGCTGCTTCATGAACTGGCTTCACAGTCAGTTTGAACGATTTCAAGGAAGGGAGTACTACTCGTGCCCTGTCTGCAACACGCAGATCATGAATCATCCTGAGTGCGAGCATCTGTGCCATGGCCAGCGAATCCCACACTTGATCGCCAACTATTCCAAAGTCCCTCTTGTTCTGAGCGAGGGTGGTTTCATCCACGCTCGATGTGCGGGATGTGAAATCCAGCATACCTTTTCCGAGATGACCAAGTACACTGGTATCTACAAGTGGGATGATGAAGTCGAGTCTACCGATACCGAACAATACATCACCCTTGGCTTTTTGAACGAACGCCCTGGCGGCTTCTTGTACATGGATGGTTCTAAAGACCCCAAGCGACCTTTTTGTGAGCGTGTTCGAAGACTTCGAACTCCAGAAGAGTTGAAGACTATCTGGGAAGCCTACAGACAGGTTTGGGTGTTGAAGTTCAAGACTTTTTGGATTTCGCATGATTTGTCCAATGTAACTCTTTGTCTCTACTTGATGAAGACCGTGAACCCATTTCCCGAGACGCAGACGTCCAAGGCTCCGAGCATTTTCCGTCGGGTCTTCTCTTGGGGATCTTCTACCTGATCGGTATTCTAGCGAGTACATGAGTTATGATGTTTTAGAGCTGAAAGATTGGACTGAGGACCGAGCTGATGTGCCTCTTCTTTTTATGACTGGTTTTTTGTATTTGTATTTTTGGTTTTGGGATTGGATGATGAACGACACAGGCTGGTCAGGAGCTTAGGCAGATTTAGGAAATACAACTGGATATTAGACCAGAACCTGATGACACTTTTATTAAGTATGAATTGCGATGGTTGTTTTTTACTTCGGCACGTTAAGTAAAGTGATTAACTACAGTTATTAAGTTCTTTAAGGACTATAACAGTGTTTGAGATGAATGTCTCTATCTCATCACTGTGTTTGTTTAACTGAAGGCAAAGACAACGCAGAATTAGGAAGAGTCAATTCTGCACCGACTGTAGCGAATTCAGTAGAGCTTGATATATTTCCGTCAATCATCTCTACGCTCAATGAGTCACTGAATATGGCATTGTCATGATTTAGCGTATCGAGATGGGCATGGTGTTTTGAGTGAAGAGCCAACAATCGCAAACAACTCTTAGCAAGCAATCACTTACATGACCAACCACCCACTTACCTCGTCTGCTTTTTCTTCCATCCCTCTAACATAGAATTCTGTCTTTCAAGTTGGATTCTATTTCTCATTTGCATTTGGGGCTAATCGCATCTGACATCAAAAGTGCCAGCAACGCTGCTAGCTCAAGTTACACTTGCCAGTGCCAGCCCGTGATTCATCAAACGACTTTATTAATTCTTTGTTTACTTTGCCTCTTCCTCCCGCACGTGCATAACTTGCCTTTTAGACTCCATCATCTCACTTTCTTCTCTCATCACCAACTTCATACTCTCGACTCGTTCATCCTCCGCCATCGTAACCATGGATGAACCTCCGATCCAAATCATCACTCGCCCACCAGATCCGCCTGAAGATAAGCCCAAACCTGAAAAACTCCTCGTCTGGCGCGATGACAACGGAAAGATTTACTTTCGCCATAATCCAACCGTTCCCATACTACGATATCCGAACAGCAAAGCGGCGATAGAGAAGTCCGATGACGACCCGACCAAATGCAAAGATTGCACTCGCGAGTGTCTCGTGGCCATCCGTGGGTATCTCCTCTCTCATCTTTTCTCTCATCTGACTAACTCGCACAGCAAACGAGGAGATGGAGAAAGATATCCGTGACCTTGAACTTTCTAACGACAAAGAAGACGAAGATCCCAAACCCAAGAACCCCAAGTACAATTTCGACAGAGAAATGCACATGCTATCCAGAAAAGGGGCCAGCAAAGTCGAAATGTACAAAGCCGTCAAGAGACCCAAGAACAAGAAAGAGACCCTCGGAGACATCATAAACGAAAGGGACGCCCTCAAGAAAGAGAAAGTCGGTCTCTCAAAGGAGCGCTCCAACCTGATCAAAGCACTCAAGGCTAAGAAAGCAAACAAGATCAGAGACGAAACACCAGCCAACATCACAGAAAAGAACGTCGCAGAGATGAAGAAACTCTCCGAGTTCATCGACGCCAGAATCAAACGGTGGAATAAGCACGACGAGCCCAAGAGTGAACAGATGATGGTAGCGGACGCCAAGTATACTCTCGAGGCACTGTACAAGCACCTCCAGAACTCTTTTGTCGATTTCGAATATGAGGAGGATATAGACGTGTGCCGTGTCTTGGACTTGCCTTGCTATGGGAGAGCCTATGGTGAGGATATTGAGGACCATCTGCATGGACCGGAGCATATGGTAAGTCATTCGCACAACCCTTTTAGTTCACTGCTTCTAATGCGTTTAGGCCTGGGATCAATCGATGAAGGGAAAAGTCCCGCTTTATCTTCAGTACAACCGACTGAAGCGCGAGGTCGATGACGGTCTTTCATACCAGGAGGGCTTGTTGGCAGAACTTGCTGTTGACCCATACTCTTACTAGGTCAGAAGCACACGAGAGACAGTACGCGTTTGAGCTTAAGTGAGACACAAGAATTCAATAGCTCAAAAGAGTCTATTTCTGCCCCCATTACCAAATCCCGCAAGTGACCACAGCCGGCACTCGTGTAGATCCCATGTAGTGTTACAGTACAAATGCGCGCCCCTAAATAACCCAGGAAACAAAAGAAACAATGTTCGGTAGGTACCAATGATCCATATCTCGCCGGCCCAGTTCTTCCAACGCGTGATTCTCTAATCGGCACGCGATCCGCTGCTGTGACGAGCACGTTTTCGTCCGCTGCTCGTGGCAGGGTGCATCTTGTCGTTGCGCTCCCTCTTGAGCTTGTCGTCCAAGACGCGGGCTGTACACCTTTAGCAGAAAAATCTCTCCTCTCCAACGCTGCGAACATACTGAGAACATCGTATCCGAACTGGGGGTGCTCCAAGCACAGAGCCTTGAACTCCTCCTCCGCCTCGGCGCGCAGGGTGTGCGAGCGCGTGGCCCAGAAGCTTGCGACGGGGGCGCGGATGGTGGTGTCGTCGTTGCTGGTGTAGGCGTAGACGTAGCGGGCGTATGCGATCTCGCCCTTGACGGTGGAGTTGACGCAGTGGATCTTGGAGCTCGAGAGGCCCTTGAGACCAGCGACGCCAAACTTCTCGGCGAGGGTGTAGATGCGGGCGTGCTTGAGGAGCTGGTCGCCGCTGTTGTCGACCGAGGGTACTGAGGGGTCGGACTCGAGGACGCGCTGGCCGGGGAGCTTCTTGGGGAAGTATTCGCCTGTGTAGAGGTATTCGAGGAAGCTGCCGACGGTCTCGATGTCGTAGTCGGGGAGCTCAATCTGACGAGGCTGTAGGCGAGTTTAGAAGCGGTTCACGGGTAGATGGTGCTGGCGCAAAGGTTCTGGAGCACTAACACTGCCGTCCTCGACGAAACTATCGCAAATGTCCTTGAAGTAGGGGCTTTGTGTCAAAAGTCCCTGATGCGCTGAGAGGATAGATTGGTCGCCGGATCCGATGAGCAGGGTGACAATTGGGCTCATGAGATAATTGGCAAAGGTAATTCGTGGCTCTACGATCTCAGAGTCGGCGAAGGGAAGCTCGGTATTGTCGACATTCTCATTCTCCTCACCCTCCTGGGTAGCCTCTGGCGCATTATCCTGCGTGTTCTGGGTCTCAGACATCTCAACGTCGCCAGTGGGCTCGACAGAGTCTTCGTGCTGATCGGTAGGCATGGTTGCGAATGAATTAGAATTCGAGTCTTAGGGAGCCATAGGTCAATTGCTTAAAACGAGCGGAATTGGTGCCGAAATCAGTGACTTAAAGATGGTCCAAATGATGGTTCCTGAGCGCGTGTGGATTCGTGTAAACGTGAGATCCAGTCTTGGTGGGCAGCTTCGGCTCGAGCAATACGGGCTAATCCGAATGCGGAAACAAGCTTGGCCTCCGTTGATGCCTCGTGCGCAAGGCATCACTGCATGACCATCATAGCTACCCTACACCGACCGTTCAGGAACTGCTGACCTGCCGCTATCGGTGCCCCGCCCCCACTAACATCTGAGGCGTCTTCATTTGGCAATCGATAAAAAGTGACTCCGAAGCAAACACCTTTCCACCAACTACTATTCCTTCCATTGTTCTCCTTCTTTGTCCTCAAGCCACCAATTTATCGTGATACTCGGGGATAATCACTATAAGGATGTGTGCAGCACATGTAAGAACACCTCTCCATCGCAATCAGCTTGACCGAGACTTCCGCAATGGCCCATACTAATCTTCTGCACCAGCTCGATATACGGCCAACTGCCGTTGAAGCTCGAGCTGCCTTCGACCAAGAATGGACTCCTACGACTCAACCCACACTTCTTCCCGTTTGCGCCTCTGCTCCCGCCGATCTATTGACTCCTTCAGCTATCTATCTTAAGCTGTCCTCGGGGTAAAGACTACCATGCTTCCACCACCGAATCGTCCTCTGACTCACCACTTACAGCGCAACTGCCGAATACTCATTTCTCCTCGAGAGTGCGACTGGAAGCACGGAGACGGTTGGACGATATAGTTTTATTGGCGCCAGTAAGCTTCTTTGAGACTCTTGTGCTGTGCATCCTCTGAGTCTCTCTTCTAGACCCGCGAAAAGTACTGGCGACTGGCGACGGCTACGAACACAATGGCGACCCGCTCAAGACCCTAGCGTCCGAGCTTTCCAATGATCGAGTCCTCGATATTCCTTCGCTGGCGCTTCCTAAGCTGTCTGGCGGCGCTGTTGGATACGTCTCATATGATTGTATCAAGTACTTCGAGCCCAAGACCGAGCGACCACTCAAAGACAACCTACAGATTCCCGAGGCTTTGTTCATGTTATTCGACACCATTGTCGCCTTGGACCACTTCCGTTCGACATTGACAATCGTCACACATATGAAGTTGCCCCAGAGTCCATCTGACGATCTTAAACCCGCCTACGACGAGGCCTGCGAGACCCTGCGAAATACCCTCGACATCATCTACCAGCCCGAGACTCCCTTACCTGCCCAAACTCTTGGTGAGCAATCAGAATCAGAGCAGCAATATTCGTCGAACGTTGGCCGTAAGGGCTATGAGACATTCGTCAAGGAGCTCAAGAAATACATTGTTAAGGGAGATATTATCCAAGCCGTGCCTTCACAACGGTTCCGTCGAAGCACCAAGCTTCACCCCTTTAACATTTACAGAACTCTCCGAACACTCAATCCCTCACCTTATGTGTTCTTCCTCTCATGCGCCGACTTTCACATCGTCGGTGCTTCGCCGGAGTGTCTGATGAAGACTGACGGATATGCCCCATTACCCTCTGACTCACGATTTGGCTACTCAGCTGCCGAAGCTCGATCAAGACCTCGTATCGTCAACCACGCAATTGCCGGTACAATCCACCGTGGAAAGAATGCCGCTGAGGATGACAGACTCGCTGCCGAGCTATTGGCTTCCAAGAAGGACAGAGCCGAGCACGTCATGTTGGTGGATCTCGCCCGTAACGACGTGAACAGAGTCTGCCACCCCACGACCGTCAAGGTTGACCGGCTCATGAGAATTGACCGCTTCTCCCATGTTCAGCACATAACCTCCGAAGTCTCGGGAGTTCTGCGTCCAGAGTGCACACGCTGGGACGCCCTGCGCTCCATTTTCCCCGCGGGAACAGTCTCAGGCGCACCCAAGATCCGAGCTATGGAGCTCATCTACGACCTGGAGCAGGAGAAGCGGGGCATCTACGCCGGAGCTGCAGGATGGTTTGGATACGACATTGTGCGCGTGGATGAGGGCAGCGAGCCTGCGGACAAGGTTTTCGTCGACGAAGGACCCATGGACACGTGCATTGCCATCCGGACCATGCTCGTCAAGGATGGCGTGGCATACATGCAGGCCGGCGGTGGCATCGTCTACGACAGTGACCCTACAGATGAGTGGATGGAGACGATGAATAAATTGTCCGCCAACCTCCGCTGTGTGGAGCTGTCGGAAAGATACTTTGGCGATGGGGTGAGCACTAAGACCGTGGAGGAGATTATTGCGATTGAGAGGAGGAAGGGAGAGGAGGAGGTGAAGGAGGCTGAAAAGTAGGGCATTTGCATAGAACGATTTCTGATGAAGGATAGAATCAATTGATACTCATTGGCGCGCTTATTGTGTTCGAAGTCGTTTATTTCCTTTTCATTGCCTTGCTGCCAGGGTAGTGTTGTTCTGACAGGAGAGGTTGTGAACGGTCAAGGCCTCACTGTTCAGGCCGAACCATGAGTGAAAGCAAAACAATGCCACGACATTCACGGTTCAACCTAAACTTACAACATGGACGGTGAACAAATGAATGTGCTTGACTTCAGTGACTGTATCGAATCTGAGTATAAAACGAAATGATGCTTACTCTATGGCAAATTCATCTCATCACCAGCATCCTCTCCCTCTCACCGTTCACATCCAGGTAAGTCTTACACCAAAAACAGATCACAAACACAAAAGGTAAGTCTACGCAACTACATCTCACAAACAGCTTTCACATCTCGTCTCACTTCACTAGTCAGTCATCTCACTGGTAAGTACCCCTTCTCAACATGTCTCCTCCTCCTAAGCCCCTCCCCGAAGCTTTCTGGCCAACTATCAGACAGGCCATCGGTAAGGGCAGCAACACAAATTCTGACAACCAGGCCATCACCCCTCAATGCCCCATCTGCATGGAGCCACTCCCGGTGAAATCTTTCCCTGCCCAAGGTGAGTTGGATGCTGAGGTCTTGCTCTGCGGTCATGTTCTCTGCCAGCCTTGTCGCAAACAGTGGGAGCGAAGTGAGTTGGGAGACCGGTGCCCTGCGTGCCGAACCACTCTCTACTGCACTCGCTGTGAGGCAAACGCCATTCCTCTCACTATCCCCAAGAACGGCGAAGGATCCAGTATTCCTCCAGGTATTCCTGAGGGTAAGCAAGACTTGTGTCCTGATTGTCAGGCTGAGGTTGAGTTTCACAAGGCTGTTGAGAACGGTGAGTGGCCTCATAACCTAGATGACATGGAGCCTGGGTTTGTCAGCCTTTTCTACCATGTTGTTAACGACATTGAGAAGGATGGTGATGTTGCTACGATGAGTAGGGTTCAGGATGCGATTACCGACACCATCGTGCAGGAGTTTTCAAACATGATGGTCAGTCGTCGCATGGTCACGCTTGGTCGTGGGAACACGCTGCGACAGGCGAATCCATGGTACACTGAGAACAACAAACGTCAGGAAAACCGTCGTAACGGGGTCATCGGCTTTGACTCGGAAGATGATGAGGAGCCTCGTGCAAACACTCCCGCTGGTGTCCCTCATCGAATTGGGGATCCATTTGTAGTCGGACTGCGTGATAGAGATAGACTTGGGAATGTTGCATTTGGCGTGCCGCCTTATCGCTTGGATCATGGCTATGCCAATCAGGCTGACGTCCAGGATGGCATCGCACGTCCAGATGCAGCAGCACCACGATCCGACAATATAAGCTCCATTGTCCGTGCAATTTGGGGATCAGAGGGAGCAGACGCAGGAAGGGCTCGAGGAGAAGCAGAGGTAGCGCCTCGAGACACAGATCAACAGATGAGGGCTCCAAGACAGGTACCGTTGCCTGTCTTTGCACGTCCCAGCGCTGCAACACAGACAGCTCAAGATGATGATAGACAGCCACCAGATGCTGACGAACTTAGACAGTGGGCTGAGTTTCTAGAACTACAACGGGAGGGTAATCCTTCTCCTGCAGCAGCTGTAGCGGCCAGACCAGCTCGAGTCTATCCAGAGGGATCGGCGGCTGCAATTCTTGAGCAACTCAGGCCCGTGGATGAGGAGTTTTTCCCTGATATGCCTACCTGGGACGAATATGTTGCTGATGCCGATGCGGATTTTGCTTCCCACGTTAATGATCCTAACTGGCCACCTCTAATACGTGCAGAGTACATAGCAGAGCACGAAGAGTATATGAGAAGACTTGTAGCGAACAGAACGGCTGCATCGTCGTCCAGTGCGGCATCCGGTGCACAGAACTCGAGCTCCATGAACCTGGGCGACAGCGACGAGGAGATGTCGTCGGCCGATCAGCCCGTCTCTGAGCGCTGAGGATCTCCTCCTCCACTATCCACAGTGGGAAGACGCGTGTAAGTCAAGGGCATGATGATATTGCATGCGGGCCGTGACAGAGGTAGGCGAAGACGCTCGGACCGAGATATGGATGGGACGGCACGGCACGGGAAACGGCATCAAGTAACGGAGGAGACGGGCTTGGCTGAGAAAGTGAATATGAATTTGAATTTATTCGGTGAAACGGAGTTTTGGATCAGGATCAACCGGGAACAAATTAGATTGATATGATATTAGTCAGTGTATGGGTATACGTAAGTATGTATGTACGCGGAGAATAAACAAAGGTCTAAGAAATGTTTCAAGGGGTTCGGATGTGCCGTCAGAGCCGTTTGAGTTTATTGGTATCAGTCGATCCCTGAAGTGAACGATGATGTATTCAGCAAAACCCGTGACATGTAAAGGAATTAGGAAATAAAAGAAACACAATGCTATGCAAATCGTACGTCAGCTAGGCGCGTGGACTATCGTTTGAGGCTGCAAGCGGGATAGATAGTCAAGCCACGTAAGTCTGGAAAAAGCGAACGAATACACGTATAATTCGGATATCGGCTACTAAGTGAGTGACAGTCATTCAGCCCATGACTCGAATGTGAAATATATATGCCGATAGTCAAAATATAAACGAAATACTACATACAGTGATTACAGTGAGGAAATATCAGTGAAGAGAGGGAAAAGTGGGCAAATAGCATCATCTCACCGCGCCGTGCCGGTATCCGATCGCGCCCAATCGACCCCGGCAAGTCGGCACGTCGACATCCACCTTTTCTAAACGCCCAGTTTTTAGTCTGATATTGGTTTTGCATGGTATTTACGAGGGAGCATATGAGCAAAACGGACATGTAAAGATCATGTATAGAGAATAACCGAACAAGGACTATCTGTAGGTGTTTAGTGTCTTATGCTGGTATTTTACCGTCTACATCCAAATATCATCCATATCCGAGTTCCTGTGCTCAGACATCTTCTCTAAATTAGATGCATGTCACTCAACTCGCTTCTCGGCACCACAAATTCCTGCTCCAAGGGGGCCAGGCCATTCCCCAATGCCACCCTCCACTCAACCTCATCCGCTAGTGGACAAGCCCGTTGCTGTCTCGGAAGTACGGCTTCATCGTCTTGCCTATTGAAAGTTGCCTTGCCTTTGAAACTGCGGCGCCTCTGGGGCCCTTTCAGGTGCCGTCTCTTCCAGCTCGCGCCTAAAAATAATACCTACCCCCCTCCCCGTCCCCAGCCTTATTCACATCACATCTAATACATACCTAACTACTTGTACATCTGTTCCCCTGCCCTCTCTTCTCTCGCTGTTTTTCGGTTCCTGCTTTTAGAAGACCACCCCCTCCCTCTTCTCTCGCTTCTTCCTCGCGCTGCGTGTGCTCCCCCCCCCGTTTACAAATTCTTGTAACTGAACTGGACCTGGACCTGGACCTGGGCTCGAACTTCCATTTAAGCCAAAGGGGGCCTAGAAGCCTCTGCCAAGAATTTCCCATCCCGTCTACTTCAAGACCCTTTTTGGGCATTTACATCACTTACATCTGCATCTTGAATTTGAGCCTCAACTCACTTCACCACAAATCAAATCAATTGCTTGTCTGGTCCCTCGACAATTGATTACCTAACACTTCGATCTCACCATTGAATGATACCGCGATAGATGCCTTCCCTTCTGCAGGCCGACTTGGACATGGATCCCGCCGTTGTCGGCCTCCCTACCACAACAGCCATCACAGGCCTTCTCGACGTCGGTGCTGCTGCCATCGACATCCTCAGCGACCTCAACATCTCGCCCCAGCACGACACCGCCATCCTCAACATCCTCCTCCGCGAGGTCAAGGAGTGCAGATCCTCCGTCCACGCCTTCTACAAGACCCTCAACCTCATCGAGAACAACCAGATCCCCTTCCCCGCCCGCGCAGCCTGGATCTCTCTCGACACCCTCGTCGCGACCCTCACAGACACCGTCCTCGCCTTCACTCGCCTCTCGTCGCTATGCTGTGCGCTCGACGAGCAGTCCAACAGGACCACGCCTGAGGATGCAGCCAAGCAGTTCCAGAAGAGGATCAAGGCGCTGTGTGCGAGGTTGAGATGGCATAATCTTTCGTATGCTATGATGATGACTATAGTGAACTGGTGAGTTAAGCAAGCGCAAACACACGGACCGCTAGATGAACAAGTGCTGACGGACATGAAAAAGCCCGGGAGAAAAGGACGCAAAGAACAGTCGCGACGAGCTGGCGCATCGCGTTGCGAGACTTCTCACATTCAACGTCAACCTCTCTGCTCGATTAAGACAGAGTCGCCCCGGATCCTCGGCCGCCAAGACAACGGGATCGGGAGCCCAGACCCCCGATAGCCCCGAGATCACCCCCGTCAATGTGGGGCTTGGACCCGCCCCCTACTCCGGAACACTCTCAAAGCTCACCACTCCCAAGGCTCTGTCCAAGGTCATTCTACCCATTCAGTTGAGGGAGCTTCGTGATGATTTCGAGTACTACACCGAGATGATCCCCTCGCAGACTGGAAGCTGTGAGTTTCCAACTGGCGGTGTCTTGATGGGAACTCCATATGATCTCGCTTCAGCACGATGAGACCCCATTATCAATCAGTAACTATCAATCTATCCCTAGTGGATAAATCATCTTATTAGATGAATACTTGCAAAGTCGGTGTTTAGGTGGGAAATAGTGCGAGGCATTTCAGGCCATGTCTGGCTACAGGACCGGTTGTAGGGCTTAGACGGGCATTTTACCAAACGGTTATTACGTGTAATGATGTTTTTATTTGTTTCTTGCTTCGTTTCACTTGGAGTCGATTTAGCTAGGCATTTGCAATTTCAACGTAGAGATATCCATTCAAATTAATCAATCACCCATTACTCATCGTGCTATGCTATGCTAGTCTTGCTATGTTATTCTTGTTACTTGATCTTAATGAAGAACTCAATCCCGTCCTTAAATGAAGAGCTTGCTACCGTGGTACTTGGTCTTGTCAGAGTAGCTCTGCACAGACGTCTCAATCTCTCGCTCGGGGAAACCCTTGAATGACTTGGCGTATGTCGCAACGGAATGGGCGATGAGCTGTTCTGTGTTAGTGTCACGGTTTCTGAACAAGACATTGGCTGGGTGCGACTTACCTTGGTGTTCACCTCCCACGCGGTGTAATTCACATTGGTCAGATCATCCCCGATCTGATGGTAGTTCTTATCATACCAGACACCGGCTTCACCGCCAAACTTCTCGACCTCGTCCTCTGTCTTGACACCCTCGGCACCTGTGGCGATACCACCGGCGGGGATGCCACCACGGATGAAACCATCGTAGTCACTGCGACCATCGAAGGGAATGAAGGTGTAGTTGAGGCCCTGCTCCTCGTACCAGTCGACATACAGATTGCGCAGCTCCTCTGAACCCTTGGGGTTCTCGGCGTTGGTGGCGTTGTAGATCTGGTAGGCAAAGTTGGGACTGGCCATCATGTCGTAGTCCATGAAGAGACGAATCTTGCGGTTCTCATCTTCAGGAAGAACGGAGACGTAGTGGTCGGAGCCGAGAAGACCTTCTTCCTCGGCGGCCCACCACGCAAAGCGGACGCAGTTGTTGACGCGGTACTTGGTCAGTTGGACGGCGACCTCGAGCACAGAGATACTGCCGGATCCATCATCGTTGATACCAGGGCCCTCGGCAACACTGTCACTGTGACCGCCAAGCATAACACAGTTGTCAGGGTCACCACCGCGAGTCTGGGCAATGATGTTGGTGGTGAGGATGGTCTTGACCTCAGCGTCAATGTAGGCAATAGCATCGACAGTCTCACCATCCTTGAGCTTCTTGGCAACAGCCTTGCCCTCTTCACCGCCAAGACCAAAAGTAGCAACATGGTCAGGCGAAGGGGTACCGAGAGTTCCATGAACCTCGTCCTTCTCATAGTTATACACAACGGCAGCGACAGCACCCGCTTTACCAGCATTGCCGGACTTTGTACCAAAGGGGCACGTTCCACGGAGGACGAGGGCAATGTTGCCCTTGACGGCCTCGGGGTAATCGGACTCGTCGCATCCTTCGTTGTCGACGAGGACAAGCGTTCCGTGGACGGGCTCCTTGTTCTTAGTCGGAGGAGTCAGACCCATGGGCGATGCCTGCTTGGGGACAGAGTCGCCGATGATGAGACGCGACTCGAAGACATTGCCCGAGACAGCGGGGAATTGCTGGTTCGAGACGGAGTAGTAGCCGCCTAGCTTGGCGAGCTCAGCGTGGATGTACGACAGCGTACCGAGATGGCCTTGAGAACAATCAGTCATTGCGTTCATGATAACAGGCCGATTTCGGAGAACGTACCTTCGCTGCCGATGACACGAGTCGGATGTCCATACTCTTCCTCTCCATTCTTGGCAATCTCATACAGATCCTTTGCTCTAGCCTCGAGATTCTCAGGCTTGATGCTCTTCTGCAATTCCTTGGTGTCTACCACGGGAAGATCATCACCGAAGGGATTCCAAGAGAGCTTGGGGACTTGGAGGTTAAGAGGGATCTGAAGAGCTGACACGCCCTGGAGAGCGGCCGTGGCGGCGACTAAGCAAAGGCTCTTTGTCGTCATGTTGGAGTTTGTTGTGGTGAAGGAGAGAGGGAGAATGATGGAAGGGGAGGGTTCTGGTTAAGACATGGGCATGACTGGAGCGCAGGTGATACAAGCTTGTGACGTGATGATGCTGGGACCTGGAGCTATAGGGCCCTAGCTCACTGTAGCTTAGCTTGGTTGCCCTGCCAGGAACCCGAGGCATTGCTTATCTTTGCCCTAGTTAGTCCCCGCGATTTGTCTCAGCTGTGTCTTGGCGATGATCGGTGATAGCTACCCTGGACTCTGCTAGCGCAGTGAATCGGATCTTGAATGAGAACAAGAGCTATTGTAAACCAACCATTATTCCGTAGATCAATATTTACTATTTAGTATTAGTTGCTGGCTGAATTTATTCGCTGAGGGGT